GTTTTTGTGTGTATGTCTATGTGTGTGCGTGTGAGTGAGTGTGTGTGCATGTGCGACATTAACTTTGTGAATGAAGTTTTATGTTTCAGTCCTGGTTAAATTCTGACTGTCAGCTGTTGGCTCAGTGACTGCCTGGTCACTTCATCGGCATAAAGTGGTGGATTTTAAGTTTCACTCCAGAAACCTGAGAGTGCAGACTCGGCTAACACTCTCTGAGCCATACAAAGGCAGTGCTGCACTGTTGGAGGAGACAGCTCTCAACAGAGATATTAAACTGAGGCCCCATCTAATGTGGATCGAAAAGATTTCATGCTGCTCATTATTTCAAGGAAGAGTAGGAGAATATTCCCAATATCCTGACATTAATAGAAAACAGTTATCTCGCCATTGTCTCCTTCTTGTTGTTAGAAGCTTGTCGCTCCCAGATTGACGATTACATTTTCTATCTTTCAACGTTGATTAGATTTCAAAAGTATTTGTTAGCAGCAGGGTTGCTTTGTAACTGCACAGAACCTGGGTGTTGCTACTGAAAGAAAAATGGCATTGAAGCTTTTCGTTTTACACAGATCAGGACAGCCGGAAGAATTCCAAATTTCAAAGGGATTTTGTTTTTAAACAAGCACGTTTAGGAATGCACCATTCCCTGGTGCATTCTCCATGGCAATGGCTTGACCAATCAGAGTTGACTTGCTAACCATAGATCTCCTTTAGTTCCTTTGAAATTTGGCATTCTTGCATTTGTCTTGATGAGTGCAAGGTGGAAAGTTTCAGCTGCATGTCTCTTTTCTCAGTAATAGATGGTGTCTTTTGAGACATCCTAATATCATAAAAGGTGCTACAGAATGCAAGTTCTTTGTTTATACGTGTACTTTTTTATTCATTGTGGGCATCGCTGGCTTATCCAGCATTTATTGCCCAGACAGCAGTTAAGATTTAAAGACCTTACTGTGGGTTTGGAGTTACATTTAGGCCAGACTAGGTAAAGACAGCAGATTTCCTTCTCCAAAAGATATTAATGAACCATTGATTTTGGTCAACATTTGAGTAATGG